ATGTGCAACTTTTTGGCCAAGTCACAGCATTGTGAGGCGGGCAGCAGGGGGCTTTTGTTGCCACTAGTTTTCTGAAGTCAGTTTTCTGTGTCTGAGCCTTTAGAAAAACATGTGTAACATATTTTTTTCTGTTATCTACTTTGAATTTTGACTATGTGAAGCTTCATGCTATGGTCCCCTTGTATTTTTCGTTAATACCTCCCAGTTCTAGTCATTTTCAGCATCTTTTTTCAAGAAAATATTCAGATTAACAAAAACAAACCTTCTATTTCAGTGTGTTGAAATGACAGAAGCACTTACAGTCATTCTGACTGTTGGAAAAACTTGTAAATGGTAAATGGACCTGCATTTGTATAGCGCCTTTCTAGTCATCCAATATGACATCCTCCTCAAAGCGCTTTTTATACTATGAGTCACATCATAGGTGTTTCTAGCCCATTTTTGGGGGTGCTGAAGCACCCCAAAATTGAATCCCAGCACCCCTAAGATTTATTTATTTTACTGTATGTCCTTTTTTAACAAGCTAGAAAAGTGTCAAAACCATACAGTACTTGGTTGAAACGTAATATTTTAACAACAAAAATACAGCACCCTCCCCCCCTGCCTCAAAAATGGTTTGATCCACCCCATCCCTCCCACCTTTCCCCGACTCCAGCTCTGAGCACTCTGTCTGCACAGAGCAATGCGCTGCCTTCCAGAGTGGGTGATATACAGTAGTGGTGTAAGTACCTGGCTTAAATCAGGATATGTGGCACATTTCCTAACTTCTACCGCTCAATACCAACACATTATTATCATTACCAGTCCTCATTTTTGCTGCATTTAATCGTAGGTCACTGTTTATGTTGTTAGGTAGGAGTTAGCTGAGGATGTTACAGGTGGTCAGTACCACTGTCCTCTGTTTGAATTGGAATGAGAGAAGCTAGCTGTTGTGTCATGTGCATGTGTTAATATTAAAGCCAAGGTGCTACTGACTAGCTAACTGACTCGATGCCCATTAACATTATAACTCCTATTGTGTGTGTGTGTGTGTGTGTGTGTGTGTGCGGGTGCGGGTGTGCGTGTACAGACAGACAGACAGTCTCATCATGGATATATATAATACAGACAAGAAGGAAAAAGGCAGAGACAAACACTGAAAAAGTCAATTACTGTTAATGTGTTAATGTTACATGTTGTGCATTGCATTTCAAATAAAAGTCCAAAAGGTCCATTTTTGGTATTTTTGGTACTCACTATAGGGGGCTGGTTTACTCCAGAAACATACATACTGTTTATGTGTATGTTGAGGAGCTGCTGTATCAAAATGAGTTTTCTTCCCCCAGAAATTAGGGTTACTATATGTTTCTTTTATGATTCCATTCCATTCCTCTTTTGCTGTGGCTCAGCATTTAAATAACCTTTATCAGATTTGATGGTTTAGTCACAGACTTTCCCAAAAAGTGTTGTGCTTTTCTTTCACAAATGTGGGAATGTAATTGTGTTAAAATTTACAAAACAGTGAAATTTATCTGGCCGGGCAGCTCTCTGGGTGCTCAGCACCCCCAAACCTCTGATCCTAGAATCGCCCCTGAGTCACATTCACCCATTCACACACAGGTTCATACACTGGTGGCCGAGGCTACCATACAGGGTGCCACCTGCTACTCAGTTTTTAACACACTCACTCACCGGTGGAACAGCCTTAGAATTTGGGGTTCAGTCTCTTGCTCAAGGATACTTTGACATGCAGACTGGAGGAGCCGGGGATCTTCTGCCAATCTTCCAATTGGTGGATGACCCGCTCTAACTCTTTCCTTTCAAAGACCATACATGCACATGTACTAAAAAAGGAACAAGAGCAGCTGTCAGTTTACTGTAGGTATGCCTTGGATAGACGTTTCAGATTAATTTTGGTGAATTTTACAGGATGCTTAGGAAGAACCCTGTCTTAATGTGCTTCCGATGTACCTGATGGGGCAAACAACTTTTTTCCCCCCGTTAAAGGGTTTTTTTGGGGAGTTTTTCCTTATCTGCTGTGAGGGTCCTAAGAACAGAGGGATGTTGTATGCTGTAAAGCCCTGTGAGGCAAACTGTGATTTGTGATATTGGGCTTTATAAATAAAATTGATTGATTGAATTGATAAAACCCACAGTCATCATAGTGTAAAAATGTATTCTGAAGTGAATCTGAGGTTAATACTTGGCTTCAACAGTCTTAGACAGCAGACTTGGCTAAACAAAACTTCCTTTTGTGTTACCGCAATGAAACACTCTCAAGGGAAACATAAAGAGGGAATTTCATGAGATACTAACTTTGGAAGATTTTTCATTTGACTGCAAGTATACAAGTATAACGTGAGCTTTATATGAACACTGTAATATATTTTTGCACAGAATAAGGACTGAATGAGGATCTCCTGATGGCCAGTATAAACAGAAGGAATGATCACAACAGGTGCTCATACAAGCACCTGACTATTGTTTTAACACTGACTTAAAAAATTGTGAACCTATTCTTTAAGTCCAAGTGCTAAGCACTGACTCGTGGTGAAAATGCACAGACCTGATAAAACCTGATGACTGGACAGGCCATCAATCAAAGTGCCTCTGCACAGATCGCCATACATGACCTTAACACATAATACACATACATAGTGGTGGGACTGTGATATGCCATCACAAAGCCAATGGGGACCAATTACTTGCAACCACTCCATCACAGCAGCACACACACCAACTGATGTGATGTGTGTATGTCTCCTCTCTCTGCCAACCCCATGAAAGTCAATAAGGGCCATTAGTCTAGAACACACCAGGCAGCACATCATTGACAGAATGAAGATGAAAGTGTCCATGGGAATGTTATCATGTCAGAAGCAGAAGAAGAGTGGATGAGAAGCAATGCTGCTCCTGTAACCTCATCAGAGGCTCATGAGAGGGTTGTGTGTGTGTGTTTCAGTGAGAAAAGGATAGGGTTAGTATATCAAGGTAAGGCTGGATTAACAATACTTGCTTTGAAGTGATGAATTTCTAATGATTTGCCACACTTAATACTACTTTGATTTTCTATTTAAAAAAAAATCATTCAGTCAAGTGTTGATACGATTTGATTGCATAAGAGACAGCGAGTTTTGGGTGTAACACCTGTCTTTTAAATTATTTGCTTCATGTGACTGAAGAAGCTTCTCTCCCTGCATAGGCATCTGCCACACAGCCCATCATGGACACCAGATCATATAAAAGCATAAAACACTGAAATTAATCAGGTTTTGAGGCTCTGTACTTCGGCCATCTTTGAAGAGTTTATGCTAATTTACGCACAAATCTACGCTGGTAAAACCGGCAGTGCTCTGTTGTGTTGGACCTGCAAGCATCCCTGATGTGGCGCATCAAGTGAAAATTAGTTACACAGCTAAGACAGGAAGAGAAAATAATGGAGTTTCCAAAATAAAAGTTTGTCGCTGTGAAGAGGTGGAGTGTTTTACCCATCCATCCCTCATCTGTTTCTGCTGGCGTTTTTTTTTCAGAGCCACGAGTAGTTATGCCTCTCCCAGCATGCACTGAGTGAAAAGCAGGTTAACACACAAAGCACAAAAGTTCTCACATGGGATGTTTTGTCTATTTTATTTGCCCTATGAATGACATCCTGCGTTATGCATTTACAAGCAATCAAAGGATTTTTAGATTTTTCTGTACTACACAGTGACCCTTGACAGAGATGTAGCCTACAGACATACTTAGACATTGAAGAAAACACAGAAAATATATATAACTTGAACATTTCACAAGAATTTTGATTGGGTGCTTGCTACCAGCCCTGAGCACTAAGTAAGAATTAACTGCAGTAGCTGAATCATCGTGGTACGTTGGCTACATTCTGTGTGTCTCTACTACATAGCCTATACTACATATGGCAGGTCCTATACTACAGGTAATAAAAATTACAGGTACTGCACACTATGTGTGTATACAACTGTATTTACAATATGTTACAATGTATTAAACATTTATAATCAAAACAGTAGTGAAAATTTTAGTTGCAGTTGTAGTATTTGTAGTAGTAGTACTAGAAGTAGCAGTAGTAGTAGTAGTAGTAGTAGTAGTAGAAATACTAGTCTACTAGTAGCAGTAGCTGTCATCATAGTAGTAGTAGTAGTAGTTGTAGTAATAGTAGCAGCAGTAGTAGTAGTAGTAGTAGTGGCAGTACTGATATAAGTAGTAGTAGGACGACTAGCACTACTGCTTGTAGTACTACTACTAGCTAGTAGTAGAAGGATTAGAAGTAGTGGTGGCAGGAGTAGGAGTGGCAGTAGCAGTACTAATAGTAGGCTAGTAGTAGTAGCAGTACTAGTACAGCTGCCTACTACTGGTAGCAGTGGCAGTAGTAATACTACTAGTACTACTACTACTACTACTACTAGTACCACTTAAATTTTAATGAAAGAAGTTGCAAAGTATTTTGTTTCTAATCTACCTATTACAAACAATTGCTGATATTTAAACACCACAATTCATGATTAATCTGGGAAATAGAATGTAAAAAATAACTGTTTTAAAGGTAAATAAGATACCAGAGTGCATAAAAAGCATCAAAATACACACGCATACACACTTAAAAGAATGAAATACATCAGCAGCAACACAGACTGCTGCATCATCCTGATCCAATGATCATCCATGGTGAATCATCACCTCTCTAAAACAAACTGAATGTCCTAACATCCTTAAAGACGGCTCTTTGAATTATTCTTTATTATTCCTAATTGTTCAGGGTCTCCATTAGTTGTTGGCGCAGTAACAACTAGGGCCTCATCTTCCAGGGGTCCAAAACACACCAAAATAGATATGTAGTTATCACATCATAACCAATCCATAACATCAACACAGCCTTTGTTTGAGCGGGTTGTAGGCTAACTACTAAAATGGTAAGTGAGTGAATATCACAACGATTTGTTGATTCATAAAATGGCTTTTACGTCAAAACCAGAGACCGGAACTCACGGCCCTGTGTACTCATACAGGCTTGACGGTGGTGCGCATCTCACCGACCGGGAATACCGATTTCTGAACATTTCGGCCTTTTCCCCCGCTGCACCGTAAGCTGTGTTTGCCTGCGAGCTGCTCCAGAGGAGAGCGGGTTGTACTGGCGTCGCGGGGATAAAGTGAAAGATTATACCAGGCAGTATTATGACAAACGGAGATGACACACATTCAGAAGGAGCCGTGTTTGTTTTGTACAGCGACATGAGGCAGGGGGTGGAGAGCCACAGAGACGCTGGGCTCCGGCCAAACATCACCGCATTTTAGCACTTATTCGATGCCCGGGATTTGCATTACATTGCATTTACTGCATCGTTGATCGGCCGTTATTTTGCAAAGTGCACGGTGGAAAATGCAGCGTGTTTGAGGACACCCCCCTCCAGATATCCATTGCTGCCATGATAGGCAGTGGTCCCTCGACCGCGGCTCGGCCGGTTGGAGAAGAGGCAGATTGATTTGGAACGGTGGGTCGCATCTGCGGATGTTATTCTGTCTGTGGAGCCTGTAAATATCATCCGCGAAAACACACCGTGATTCTTACTCAGGGAAAGAGGAGAGAAAACAACATGTCTTCTCGGTCTGCATTACCGTCTGGAAACGACAGGAGTACTGGAGACCATGTAAGTGCAATTACAGCTTATAGCCTCTGTTAGTGTGCATGCAAAAGATAAATCGTGCATCCCTGTAACATCTCATGTATGTGGCCCTTGGTATCACTGGGTTTGTTGGCGGTGTAGACGGGGGTCATGGATGGTGCTATTTTCCTCGTTAGGTAAAAGGACTCTCGGGGTGATACTAGATGGATATTTTAGCAGAACAGGCTCTTTGGAGATGGGCTAACCTTGAGTGTCTGCGCAGGGAAAGAGCTGATGGCAGGCAAACAGCCCGGAATGAGTCCATCCGCATACGATAACACTCAGTGGATATGCGCAGAAAGCCCGAAAACCAGCCGTCACCTCTTATTATAAGGCTGTGGAGAGAGAGTGATGTCACATTATACTCCTTGCTGCTGCCTGTGTGCACGCGCGTGCGCGTGAATTCTCCAGAAATCGGATGGGTGGGACAAGAGCACAGAAGGCCAAAATAAATGTATAGAGAATATCTGGGTTGTTCGTATGAAGTGAGGGGATTACTGCGTAAAATGATGTGCAGTCCAGTGCTGCGCAGCCGACAAAGCGCCCAACCCCTGAGCCAGTGGGTGACAGACAGCGCCATACATTCAGTACAGTGAAAAACAGTAGCGGCCTCTTATAGAGACACAAGCAAAGGAGATTTATTTATGTGAGGCAGACAGAATATAACAGGGTCTGCATATGTATCATATGTATTGATTGTAAGTAGCCTATCTATCCACACGCCTTGACTATTGTGATATAAATGTATCAAAATGGTGACATGACTAGCGTAGCATTATGACATTTCTCTGCCCCAAACACTTCTGGCAAGACTCCCCCCATCTGTTTGTTAGTAGAGCTTTCAGCACAGAGGGACGGTTAAGCCAGTAGATGTGTGTGTGTGTGTGTGTGTGTGTGTGTGTGTAAAACAGAGAGAGAGAGAGAGAGAGAGAGAGAGAGTCTGTCACTTGATGTGCATTAATGTGTGAGTTTACGCGGTGCATGATTGATTATGAATGCAGAGCCGTTCCTTCCATTAAAATGGGTCTCGATCTCCTGTCATCACTCTACAATTAAGCGATGATGACAGATGAGTGAATTGACCGGGTGAAATGTTGTGTTTCAATATTGGCACAGGTGAGGCTTGGCTAGATGTGAGCATTACAGTCGGTGGATTAATGTCGTCCGCTGCTCGCTGTGTGTGCCTCTAGTGATGCTGGTTGCGACTCGCCGGTGTCTAGCTTCTAGAAAGGGGGTCCAAATTGGCTCTAGGTGGGGCATGAAAACAGGAATGGAAGCATGGGAACGAGGGAGTGTCTGAAGGTGGAGCTTAGGGTTGCGCGGTTGTGTGTGTGTGTGTGTGTGTATGTGTGTGTAAGATGACATGCTGGGGGGATGGAAGTGTGATGCCTCAGGGCCTGGGACTGGCCAGGGACCACTGTGCCGGCATCTGCTCCCGTTTTTACTCTTTCCTCCTATATTTCCTCTCTCCACCCTTTGATCAGTTGTCATCCTGGTTTCTCTGTCTCCTGATATGGCCTTTTGTTTTCTTCCCCCCACTATCTATTCTCTGTCTTGCCTTCTCCATATCTTTCCTTGGATTGTCACATGACAAGAAACTGCTTTATACTGTAATACATTCAGCATTGTTTGTGTAAATGGACATTGTTGTCCTCCCTTTGTCATCTGCTGTGCTTGCTGGCTGAAAATGATCTGTGACTCAGGACTCAGGACTCAATGCTCTGTACCATTATTGCCCAGAATCAAGGTGGTAACATGCAGCAGCAGCAGCAGCAGCAGTAGCAGCACAGCTAACTATTTAAAGGGCTGTGGATGCTTCAGAGTGACCTCAGTTTGCAGTTAAGTATTACCGTTATACTCTGTCCTATTGCATGAAGACATCTTCCAGCAGTCAAGTAGGAGGCCTCTAAAGAAGATGATGCTGAACCGAAAATGGCAACAATATGTTCAAGTGTTCCGATGCTGGACAACAGCTGTTAACCCAGCAATGAGGGGCATATTCACATGTAGCTCAGCTCAGCATCCCATAGTTTTGTGAAACAAGCACACACATATACAGTAGGCTATGTATATATATTTATATATATATATGTATATATACAGTACAGGCCAAAAGTTTGGACACACCTTCTCATTCAATGCGTTTTCTTTATTTTCATGACTATTTACATTGTAGATTCTCACTGAAGGCATCAAAACTATGAATGAACACATGTGGAGTTATGTACTTAACAAAAAAAGGTGAAATAACTGAAAACATGTTTTATATTCTAGTTTCTTCAAAATAGCCACCCTTTGCTCTGATTACTGCTTTGCACACTCTTGGCATTCTCTCCATGAGCTTCAAGAGGTAGTCACCTGAAATGGTTT